AGATGGCATGAAAGAGAGGTATTTTGGAACTGATCACGCGGTTGAGATCATCATCATCATCATCATCCCTATACAGGTTGGCTAGAGGTGGAAAACACCTCAGACATTGTGTATAGTCCTCCCCTGGATAGGGTCTCGAAAACTGCCTTATCACTGCTTGATAAACCTATACTATACGATGAAGACACGAAATCAGTGGTATTCTTGCTGCTAGCACTTGACATCCTTATCTAGTGATTCCAAGGTTGTCTTTCAGTCACTCCAGTTGGATTAGGTCGCCTTCTTTCTTTCGCATCCACGCCATTGCATCGGATCAAAATTCGGTCAAAGGACCGTCATTAAACAATGGAAACACAACTTGTCTGGACCGAAATGGGAGTAGTGGTCTTAAATAAATAGCAAAGCTTTAGAAGCAACATATCCAGGTGTTAAATACGCTCCGCAAACTGAATCATCAAAGTCGCCGATAAACATTATGTCATATATATATATATATATATATATATATATATATATATATATATATATATATATATATATATATGGATTGAGATCATTAAGTCCCTGTGTTATCTCATGAATGAAACACTAAAAGGTCTGGCTATCATTGCCAGAGCCAAAAGATTTTCAGATGTATTCTAAAAGACTTAACGGTTTATGTTGTCTGGCGCCACAGACATTTGATGGTAAGTGCGCACTAGGTCTATTTTGTGAAAGATCGACTTACCAATCAAAGGTTAGGTTAAGTGGTGCATATGTAACATGGGGTACTTATCCGGGACAGTAACTTTGTTGTAAGTCATGTAGTCACCACAGGAATGTCAGGCAACAGACTCCTTCGGTACCATGTGAAATGGTTATATGCATGGATTGTTGGAAGGATGGCCTAATCTAAGTTCGCATTCCGCTTTAGTCATCTTGAGTCCGTCCGGGAGTGGTCTGCGAACTTGGGCCAAAACATGTAGAACATTGGCGCATGACGTTTGATGCCAAGGGAGGTAAGTCGTTTTAGATGCAAACGAGCTTAAGGTGCCATTTGGAAAGGTCTATAAAAGGCTGTGAAGTTTAGGGTGGGAGGCGAATGAGAGTGATCGCGCTACCTCTGATAACATTAATCTGTGTCAGGGTCCATATATATATATATATATATATATATATATATATATATATATATATATATATATATCAAGTCGATAATCCCTTTTATTTTTGCTTTAGTTACGAGCCTTTTAGGAAAAGCAATAGAGTGGCTTTCAAGTTGGCTAGAAATAAACAATACTACACCACTGATTATTACTATCATCTGACACCATTGACTTTTTGCCCCTAACGCCCTTCATTATTTTGTAATCTATATAATATCGCCTGTACGGAAAAATTTCAAGCTTGAATATCCTATTTCATGATGAGACCGCAGGCCAGCTGAACTGTTAAAGCGGGCCGCCTTTGATCAGCGAGCCCGACTTTGGGCATCTCTAATGTAAGCGGTTTAGAGGGTCGCCTGTACCGGGAGCCCAGAAAGCGATTCGAGAAGACAGATCAAGTTGCAGGGAAACTTTTATTGGTACAGTAAAAGATTCCCTGTTATCTAGCTATAAAAGAACGACACCGTGGACGCTCTAGCTAGGGGAACGGAGCAAGCACAGCACACAGGGCAGTTGCGAGTTGCAACCGAAACGAGCGCCAAGCAAACATGGCGATGAGCAAGTCAAGCATTCGAACTCAGCAATCAGTTCAACAAACCACACCGGTTGCCTAGGTGTACAATGAAATAATTTTAGTTAGAATTTTACACAGGCAAACCGGGGAATCTCCAGACTGCTACATAGCCCTCTCCCAGAAGGGACTGTGTAAGCAGTCCTTCGATCTACGTGAGGACTGTCCGTCGCGGGCCAGCCTTCTGCGAGACCAGGTTGTGAAACCTGATGCAGCTGCTGGGGGAGAACCATGCAATCGGACCCTAGCGGGCTCCCACCCGTGTCCTCCCTACGGTGTCGAAACGGTAAAAAACTGTTTGTGGGGGGACAGTTAGTAAAGTTCACGTAGGCGGTTGAGCAGGAAGTTTGTTCCACTTCCAGTTGACGTGCGGAGATCCAGCGAAATGTGAAACCGAGGTGCAACCAACCGGCGGTGTATATGGAAAGCAAATGAAAAAGCAGCATAAATGCATAGCAATACACAAAAGAGTGCAAAGCGAAAAACGTGCAAAGCTGTTTTTGGGTTTTCAAAAGGTTTTGCTCTTTTTTGGTAGTTTCAAAACGTTTTGGTCTTTTTTGTGGATTTTCAAAAACGTTTGGTAAGAGCAGAAAATTTCAAAGGCACGTTCTATGTAAAATAGTGAGTGCTAACGAAGTCCGAAAATCGAACTGGAGGTTTGAGCTTCCTACCGCGTCGATTGATAGTAGGGCGAGTAGGAGTGCTGTCGGTTGAGGTTGTCGGTTCTGCTGGAGCGGACTGACTCGTCTGAGGTTGCGGTGCGAGCTGTGATGGCACAGGCTGTGAAGGTGCTTGTTGCACCGAAGAGTCAGACTTGTCGAGGAATGCTGGCTTGAGTCGATCGATGTTGATCGTCTCAGTGGTGTTGCGTCGTAGCTTGCCTATGTCGGGATCAGCTTGTTGGGCAGCAGCCATAGCGGCTAGATCAATGTTGGTGCCAGGCGATAAGCTGATCTGCTGAATGCGTGAAAGCGCATCCGCGACGGGATTGAGAGCACCTGAGACATGTCGTACGTCTGTCGTAAATTGAGAAACGTAGTCTAGGTGTCTAGTTTCCCGCGGAGAATACTTGTCTGTTGCGCCATTGATTGCGTAGATCAATGGCTTGTGGTCAGTGAAGACTGTAAAATGTCGACCTTCGAGATAGTGACGGAAATGTCTGATACCTAGGTAGATAGCTAACAGTTCCCTACCGAAGGTGCTGTAACGCGATTCGGCAGGTTGTAAACGTTTCGAGAAGAAACCTAGAGGTATCCATCGATGGTCGATGAGTTGTTGAAGAACTGCACCGACGGCAGTGTCGGAGGCGTCAGTTGTCAGGGAGAGTGGTGCAGACGTGTCTGGATGGGCGAGAAGCGCTATGTTGGAGATAGCGTCTTTGAGCTTCTCGAAAGACAGTCTAGCGTCGTCTGCAAAATGAAAAGACCGTTGTTTACCGCGGAGCAAGTCAGTCATTGGTTGAACAATGCTCGCGCAGTTAGGAATAAAGCGTCTATAATAGTTAACCAGGCCAAGGAATCGGCGTAACTGTTTGAAGGAACTGGGAGCAGGATAGTCCTTCAGTGCCTGGATTTTGTCTGGCAGAGCTTCAATACCAGAGGCGGATATGCGGTGGCCAAGAAAGTCGATGGAACTTTGGCCAAGCTCGCATTTATCGGGGTTGACGGTAACCCCATGCTGTGTTAAGCGTTGGAAGAGAGCGTCGAGGTGATGAAGATGTTCCTCGTCAGAAGAGCTGGCGATGAGAATGTCATCTAGATAAGGATAAACGCCTTCGAGTCCTCGCGTTACCTCATGAATGAAACGCTGAAAAGTTTGGGCAGCGTTGCTGAGGCCGAAAGGCATTCTGAGGTACTCGAATAGGCCGAATGGCGTGATGACTGCTGTTTTAGCAATGTCGTCTGGCGCCACAGGTATCTGATGGTAGGCGCGAACTAAGTCGACTTTGCTAAAGATAGACTTGCCAGCTAGAGCTGAGGTCAAGTCGTGCATGTGCGGAATGGGGTATTTATCCGGGACGGTAACTTTGTTAAGTGCCCTGTAGTCACCACAGGGGCGCCAGTCACCGGATTTCTTCGGTACCAAGTGTAATGGTGATGCCCATGGACTTTTGGACGGGCGGATGATTCCCAGTTCGAGCATTTGCTCGAATTCCGCCTTAGCAGCTTTGAGCTTGTCCGGGGCTAGTCGGCGAGGGCGGGCCGAAACAGGTGGGCCCTTAGTGCAAATGTGATGCATGACGTTTGACGTCACAGGAGGCAAGTCGTTCAGGACGCGAACGAGTTTAGGATGCTTGTTGAAAAGTTCTAGAAAAGGTTGTGAAGCTTGAGGTAGGACACGAATGGGAGTGATAGCAGCCACGTTGGCGCTAGTCCCGATAACACTGAGCTGTGTCCTAGAGTCGATAAGCTTCTTCCTTTTAGCGTCGACGATGAGGTCGAAGCGTTGAAGAAAGTCTATGCCTATGATGGCGAAAGGCACGGCAGCGATTATGAAAGGCCAGCGAAAGGTTCGCCGGAGGCCTAAATTGAGCGTTAGCAGCTTTTCGCCGAAAGTTGCGATTGGTGTGCCATTGGCGGCACGCAGCTTGGTCGGCGATGGTGAGACGACCTCATCTGGGCTACGGGGTATAACGCTAACTTCGGCACCAGTGTCGACTAGAAACTCGGTGCCGGAAGTTAAATCCCTAACGCGGATGAGGCGACTTTGGTGTTGGCCGGTCGCGTCCGTCGCCGTTACGGACCGGCCGAGAAGTTTCCCTGCTTCTCTGCGAAGTTGCAGGGGTTGACACATTTACGAGCTGCGGTACCAAAGCGCTGATGGTACCAACAGCTAGCCTGCCTGTTGCTAGACTTAGAACGTTTGCAGGGCGATTTTGAGCGGCTATGACGACGACGGTTCATAGTAAGCTGTTGACCTGGCGACTAAGTGTCGCAACTTGTGTTTGCAGGGCTTCTATAGTTGACTGTAAGCCAGTGATAGAAGTGCCCTGGGACGCGACGGCATTGATCTTGCTGGCGTCGGCTTGTGGCTGTGATCGTTCAATAACTCGATCCGCTAAATCTGCTAGTTGAGTGAGCGAAACGGAGCTCACTGTAGCGAGAATCGCTTGCGTGTTTTCCGGTAGCCGTTGTAGCCATAGTTCGCGAAGTAAAGTCTCGTCCATGGTTGAGGAACCAAGGAGTTGCTGCATCTCCCGTAGCAGGGTTGAGGGCAGTTTGTCGCCCAGCTGCAGATCCCTGAAAAGCTGCTGCAGGCGAACTTTCTCAGAGGGCATAACACGCTTAATCGTGGCCTCTTTGAGAGCCTCATAGCGGTTTTCGGTCTGAGAAATGATAACGTCACGAACCTGCATTGATATCTCCTTGGGGAGATAGGACAGGAGCTTGCAATACTTCGCGTAGTCGGAAGTGATTCTGTGGTTGTAAAACTCAGCCTCAAGATGAGCGAACCACAAAAGAGGATCCATGTCCCAAAAAGGTGGAACTGAGAGAGATACAACGCTAAGCAGAGACTCTACCTTATGGTCTACAGAATCCATGGCTTAAAAAATGACGCAAAAAATAGGCTACCGTATGCAAAAATAAACAGCAAAATATGAAAAATAAATGGAACGAGCTCACCGGAGAAAAGTTCGAAATATCCGGCGCTGAGATTGTTCCGGAGTCGGGGTCACCAATTTAGAGGGTCGCCTGTACCGGGAGCCCAGAGAGCGATTCGAGAAGACGGATCGAGTTGCAGGGAAACTTTTATTGGTACAGTAAAAGATTCCCTGTTATCTAGCTATAAAGAACGACACCGTGGACGCTCTAGCTAGGGGAACGGAGCAAGCACAGCACACAGGGCAGTTGCGAGTTGCAACCGAAACGAGCGCCAAGCAAAAATGGCGATGAGCAAGTCAAGCATTCGAACTCAGCAATCAGTTCAACAAACCACACCGGTTGCCTAGGTGTACAATGAAATAATTTTAGTTAGAATTTTACACAGGCAAACCGGGGAATCTCCAGACTGCTTACACGATTGAAGAGTACGCGAGTTACTAGGTGGACCGCAACACATCATCGTTTCTCGTCGCACTGCTATCCATTGAGCACACCAGAAGTCAGAAGGGCAATCTAGTTTCGACACACTTAGGCTTTGTATATCTCGCACCACCAAGTACTTGTTACTTGGAGATGCCGGCAAAACCGAGGTGTGAAGTGTCACCCACTGATGAAGACAAGAGACGACATCATCTTGCAACAGTCAAATGTGCAGTCATGACTTATGTCCTCAGAAAGCGGAAGCCAATGCTGCATGAAGACAAAGGAAACTGGACATGAGGGTAGTCAGTATGACACCTCGCAATGTTATGAGAAATGTTTTGCTTGCACGTAGCGAAGCTTTGATACACATGTCAAAACAATCATCCATTGCAAAAGCTCTGCTGAGTCACACAAAAGGTGGTCATTTACTTTGTCCAACAGGCATAAATTTTGCTGTTCCTGAGCAGTACTCGGAGCTAATTTTACATGATTCAGATGTGCATGATCTAGAAAGGATTCTAGTGTTAGGTAAGAAAGAAGTTACACTTGCATTGTGCACAAATAGAACATGCGAGGACGGTACTTTTGACAAAGTTCCCAACATGTTTTATCAGCTTTGTACGTGGCACCTCAAAGTAGGCGACAGTTTTCCTCCTTGCCTTTACATCCTGTTGCAGAAAAAATGTACAGACCTATACGAAAATATTTGAAATAATGAAACTATTGTTACCGGAATCGATGCCAAGAAAGGTGTTAGCCGATTTTGTTAACGCTTCTATTAATGCTGCGAGATTCGCATTTCCTGACTCAGAAATTAATGGATGCTGTTTCCATCTGTGTCAAAGTATCAGCAGAAAAGTCTACAAAGTCGGTCTAAAGTGTGCTTTCGAAACGGATGTCGATACTCAACTACAGCTGAAGTCACTGGATGCACTTTCCTTAGTCCCAGTCGCTGAAGAAAGAGGGGATTTTGTTGCGCTTGGTAGCATATATCCAAATGAAGTATTATGTGATGCGGTGTCTAGTTATTTCTACTCTACTTATTTTGAAACGGCAACAGGCTGAGAACCACAGTTTCCACTGCAAACGTGGCTCCATCACGATGCCGCTCTTGAGAGGTCATCGGAAACCGCCAATTGCTGCGAAGAATTTCACACTGCTTTGAATTCCTTATTCCAGTGCAGTCATCCAAACGTATGGCACTTGTTCGATAGACTCAGAGGGATTTGTCCCGCCAAAGACTTACACTAGTCAATGCGCGTTCAGATAGCTTTGAGGTAAAAGAAAAGTTCTGATGCGCTACAAACTGCCGTTGTCTCTTGTGTTCGTGATTGTGAATCAACAGAAGATGGGCTTAGATACTTGCGATACTTCGCAATAATGATCCTAGCTGTTCCTGTAGGTAATCCTAGCAGTAAGCTATTTGCGCTCAAGGGAAATCTGTGTTCGTATGAGCAAATCCTGTGCTTTTATATTTCAACTTACGTTTTCAGACATCTCCGTCTCTTTCAATATGAAATCTTTTTCACGACGAATTAACCCGTTCTCGCATTGCGTAAGTGGGGACTTTCCACGTGAGCATTTTATTGATGAAAACGAAGTTATGAACAATGCACTAATGAATAGGGACACATACCTCTTACTTATATAAAGGGCTACCGCTTTCAAACGGAGTATCAGTGCCCGTCGTAGCTGCACGAGAGATCGTCAGCATTCCGATAGTCCCCTCTACTGTCCCTCATTTCGGACTCCAATTGAAGCTATGGTGTTATGGCATATGTGGTTGCGCCCTTACCTGCATAGTTGTCAGGAACCAAGAAAAATGGCTGCTTGTCAGGGTCTTCTCACATGAACGGACGACGTCAAAAATTCGACCGCAAAAAACTGATGGCTACCGATTAGCAGTTGCAAATTCACTTGGGGAATGGTTGTACTGATGACATATGAGTAGTCAATTTCCGTCTGTCATATTTGCGAATAAGGGGCATCCATTTCATTGCGACTTCGTAATTTGTGCGCGCAACCAGTTTTCAATTATAAAGATGAGGTCAAATGAATATGAGGCCTCTGATGCCGGTAGTGAATCGGGGGATGTGTGAATTGGATGTGAGGTTTCTCCGACTGCTGAGAGGTCGGCTATTAATCATATTTTATGTCACACTGGCGACTGAGTTTTGTGACAAACAATCTCGTGTTTAAGGAATGGGATGTGGTCGCCAATTTCGCAGGCTGGCTGAGTGATACCATCTGAATTGTTCCCCTTACAAGGTGCTAATCAGTTTGTCGCGTATGTTGTTTACTTGGTGGACGCCGCCTAGAGCCAGAGCTCAGAAATTAGTCTGCTACGAAGTGCATACCAGCGTTAAAACAGCCACGCAAACGTCTGGGTTGAGTGAAGCGCCACCTTGATTCTCTTCGGATCTTGGTGAGCTAGGTGGTGGAGCGGAAAAACACAGCACAAATGTTGCAGATGCGTTCAATTATTCCCTCTGGATGCAAAGTTGTATGAACGGGTGTGGGATGACGTTTATTCTGGTAATGCAGACATGTCTTAATGTCTCGTAGTCGCCAACAGGAAGAGTGTCCAGTAGCTGGTCTTTTATGACGTGAATTCTTAATATGAGTGTTGATTAAAGTCCACTGGCTGCCCTGAATTCGCAACGGTACATACAAAGGTATGTGAGTACCGGAAATGTAAGGTAAAACTCACCAAACACCATTTATATCAACGCTGGGACAACGGTCAGTGCAGTCAGATTCTTGAGTTGGAGTTTTCGGATGAAAACAATTTCAAAGGAAGTCTTGAGGCCCATGTTGCTGACATTGCTTAAGAGGTCTTGGTTCATGTGAAAACAGCCGCCTTTTATTTCAGTGTCCGAAATGCAAGGCAAGGGAAAGCGGGACAATAACCCAGCCTGTTGACACACAGTGGATTTCAGCCGCCGATTCGTTGAGGCAAGCAATGCTCCGTTTGTGTAGTTTTGTACATGGTTTCGAAACGCTGCGAAGTACGGTCCGTGCCCAGCGGTCGACTAAGGGGCACCTTGGGTGGGAATGTTATAATTGTCACAAGTTACTAATTTTGGAGACAGGTCAAAAATTGAACCTTGTTAGTGAGAAAAATAGATAATATGGTCACCTGTGACATTGTTATCAGATTGCTAAAATTTATTTACTTCAGTGTGGGCAACCTTCCGTGTGCGCATACTTCCATGTGCGCAAACCTCCGTGTGCGCAATCCTCGTGCGCGCTTGTGTCTATGCGCAATTTTTGTGTGCGCTTTCCTCATGGAACCATTTTCTCCAGCAAGTATAAGCATCGCAAACTAAGCGGATGGCCCATTCGTAGCAGATTTTAATTGGCACTGTTCAGACAAATTCGAATACAGCAGGCAGCTCCCGCAATAGCCTCGATACACGAGAAGCTCAATTCCGCCTTGTTTATCTGAGCAGTCAACGTCCCTACAGTTAGATGCACCAGGTCAAGCTTAGAGAATATGCCCTATGTAAATTGTAATATAGAACAGACGAGTTTTTCTCTCCTCTGGGTGAGCGCAGCCAAAGCAGGAGACGATAGATTGGACCTCATACATAAATTGCGATTACTGTCCACTCTAGATCAAAATCTATATACCTCGTACCAAAGTAAGAATTCGCAACCGATGCGGATTTTGCACCTAAGACGATTCCACTTGGACTAAGAGTTATAATCCACTGCAACAAAGCAAGATTGCTTCATAGCTGTGCACAACACGGTGTGCCTGAAATGGGCCTTATTTACTACAATGCAGTGTCTACGATTCACGCTGAGCCAATGTGCGAAAGCACAAGCACACTTTGGATGATGCTCTAATGTAAGATACGTATAATGCAACCGTTACTGCTCTTGATGAGCTCTCCGGCGGTGATCATAGGTTCATAGAGTACCAGCTTTTGAACTAGAAGTAGGAGTCGACAAAGTCTCGAACTTTCAAGATTGTATGCCAAAAGCAAAATGAATCCAGTCGCATCCTCCGACGAAATTTAAGTAATAAATGAGAATCGTTTTGTGTCCCATGCCCCCTGAGGAGCGGATAAAACTGAACAGTGCAATAGATGAACTCCGAACACGCCGGGCAAATGGTGAGACGAGCTTCACATTGTGGATTATCGGGTGGTTCGGAAAACCACGAGAACTCGCTGGAGATCAATTATTGTCCTACCCGAGCAGTAACGTCAAGAAACGGTTTGCGTGTGTTGTCCGTTAACGTGCGCAATTTGCGGAACAAGTTGGACGAGATTCAACTCCATGTCTTTGATAATCTCCCAGACTTGATAGCTTTCTCTGAGACATGACTGTCCCCGGACATCCGTGAATATCACTTCTCCCTGGCTGATTGCCCCGGAGCGCGATCCGGTGATGGCGTGATGCGCTATTTGAGGGCGGACCTCAAGGCACATTTACT